AATCAAACACAGATCCACAGATTTATGTTTCACTTTGGTGAAGTTTCCCTTCTGGATGTAACAGAGTTGATGCAATCCAATCTGTGGATCTGTGTTTGATTACTCTGCCTGGCTTTCTCAAGGACCAGGATGTGACACAAAAATCTGAATTATGGAACTGAAAGTGAAAGTAGTCAAACTGAATTTTTAATAAACCAAAATACAGTTTCAAAGTAAATTAATTCAGTTTCAAACCATTAAATTCAGTTTCAAACCATTAAATTCAGTTTCAAACCATTAAATTCAGTTTCAAACCATTAAATTCAATTTCAAATTCTGCACATTCAGATTCAATCGGTGCGGTTCAGATTTATCTCGTATACAACTGGACTGTGTGCCATCTGTGAGTTTGTTTTTTATTCTCCATGAAGCGTTTCCAGGCGTCTCTCAGCAGATCTGTGTCTGTGGAGGTCTGCACTCAGCTGCCTGAGTTTAGACTCACCTTGATGCGGATCGAGCCTCTGGCAGTCTCTGAGGGGGGACCTGGACCTGAGCCAGCAGGTGGTCCACCTGGTCAGAGAGACTGGGCATATGTGCTCCACACATCTGGAACAACTGGTCCTCCGAAGACTGTGAGGGTCCCACATGAGTGTATTCTCCCCAACATCCTGCACCTGAGGTGGGTCCGGGTGGGTCCGGGTTTGTTCGGTTCCTGTTCCTGAGCTTACGTCTGTGCTCTCTGCTCAGATCTTTGTTTCAGATCAGCTCTGATGATGTGCTGTTTCTGGCTTCACCCTTGACCTTCGACCCGTCGGTGGTGGACATCTTTCTGGCCCTGTCCTCTGGGGCTCAGCTGCTGATCGTCCCCGCCTTGATGAAGAGACGCCCCGGTGGTCTGGCCCAGCTGCTGTTCAGAGACCACCGAGTCACGGTCCTTCAGGCAGGTGACTCATTCAGCTCTGCCTCATTCTTACCATGTTTTCTCCGACCACTGGACATGATGATTTCATCTGTCTGTCTGTTAGCAAAATATCTTATGAACCACTGGGTGACTTGTAGAAAGTAATCATCAGATCGATGTAGCCTACATAGTTTAAGATGGCTGACCTCAGAAAGATGGCTTTAACTGTGTCAGTTTTACAGATGTGGATCTAAAATCAGGTTTGCTTTGAGCTGAGATCCACTAGAGGTGTAAGAAAATATCGATACACTGAAATATCGCGATATTTCATTTCCCGATACTGTATCGATATTCTAAAGCCCTGTATCGATTTTTTATTAAAGTTTAAAATGTCAACTTGTGTATTGGCAAGAATTTGGCGATATGATACATATCATGACAGAGGGGTCACGATACGATATAT